CATCCACTGCACTCCAGTCTGGGCGACAGAGTGAGACTCCAACTCAAAAAAAAAAACTCGACTCAAAAGACTACTGACACACTTCACAGGCACTATTTTACAGTAACTAATAAACATTACAAGCTAGAATAAGAATAAACTATGTGTCTTGCTATCTGAATTTAGAAGGAAAAAGCTTGGAAATTATTTTTCAAGTTATTTTTATTGTAATCCTTGGATTTAAACTAAATACAAATATTTACTAAATAAGCTTAAAAGAAATTCGATACACAAAGTAGTTTACTTCAAGAGTTTGTAATACTTCTGGTGGAAGTTTCTGACCATGAGCCCTTAAGTTAGACGGCCATTTCAATACAGACAACTCAACTGAAAAGGAACACACTCTTCCTGGCCTGTACTCTGTGGAATGTGTTTCAAGGGAACAAAAGGCACTTAAGAAATACATGAGCCCATCTTCCCACAGAACATTTGAAAAGAAGTTTCCTTATAGAGTAACAGAAGCCAACAAACAGAACTGTCTGGCAGGTTACACCACCATGTCCTCCGTCCCTCCAGAACTTCCAGGAGACGCGGTCCCTTTGTTTATTCTTCCACGCACGAGATGTTCCAGTGTCTCCTCTGCCCAGAAGCCCAGTCCCCAGTCCCAGAGCTGGCTTCTCCTGCTCCAGGCCTCATCTCAGAGGGCTTTCTCTGCCAACTCTCTGAAAAATGGCTGCACCTGCCTCTCGGCTCAGCCTGTTCCTTCGGCGGCCCACCTGGTGTGAACGACAGTGTTTAGCGTCAGTGGTCCTCACGTCCAGCTCACGCAGTTAATAAACATCTCGGGGCGGGCAGTGAGGAGGGGGAAGGAATGCTCATGAACACACGGACCAGCCACTTCCAACAGGGTTTCTCCAGCACAGCCCATGACCGTCCGAGCCTGTGCCTGGAAGGCTGGCAGGCAGGATCTGGCCTTTAACCCCAGACACCTCCTGTCACCTTTGCTCCCAGCTGAGATGACCACTCTCTCCAGACAGTGCCCACCGTCCCCTGGGAGGCAAGACGGCTGGGGCCAAGGCCCGAGGCTCTCCACGTGAAGCATGAAGTGCAGCCCGGTGTTGCGCAGCAAGCCCTGGGCGCGTCCTCAGACTCTCCTGCCCAGGTGATGACTGCCAGGCTTTGCAGAAATCTCCAGCCCACCGCAAGACGACTTCACTGCATCGAGCACACGCAAAACACTGGCACGTCGACCACCTTCCCTGCCACTTTCCGCACCA